CGGAAGACTCCTGGGTGTGGAAGATGGGTGATCGGCACCAGGTGAAGCCTGGAAGAGCCTCCTCCCCGCCCATTGACGGTCGTCGCCTGCCACCTAGTGGCCAATCGATCCCATCTCGAGCTTCAGCTGCTCTGTTCATACAGACTCTCCACCTTTCCCCTCAGTGGCTGCCTCCCCCACTTCATTCTCCTTATTTGTTCTCTGGCCGTGCCCGGGAGTCCAGACACGGACCGGGGCCCCATGTGCTAGCTGCTGAACAAACACCCACTGCCACGAAATCCCCGGATTTCCTCTCCTCCCTATCCCTGTGTGAGGGTTGGCTCCAGAAAGAAACGTGGGACATGAATAGAGGTTGCCGGGTGCCTGGGACTGGAAACCAGCAGTCAACGGTGGCCATTTTAGTGACATGCGGTCCCTATCTGTCTGACCCTCCCTATATGTCCGACCTGTCTGTCTTTTACTATCCATCCATCCATCTGCAAACACACCTATCAATCAATCAATCAATCAATCGATCGATCTATCTATAGGAGAGTTGGATGCGGATCGTAGTTTTCCCTTGGCTGCTGGGTAATTGTAGGAAAGTCCCTTCCGCTCCCTGTACCTGTTTTCCCATCTGTGAAACGGGGCATAATAGCACTGACCGCTCCTTAGAAAGCGCTTCCGAGACTGATGAGAAACAGGTACGAGGGCTTCTGGGAACAGACATGTACGTGGAGTTTGTCAATGGATACCCGGGCACTGGCCCGCGAGCCGGATTCGGTGTCCCAGAGTCAGCACTTTGGGGCCCCCCGAAGTGCCGTATTTTTCTGCTCATGTACCGGGGATCACAGCTCATGTTGGTTACGCGGAGAGCGAGGGGATTGGTAGGGGATCTACAAATGCCAGCCCGGTGGGTGGGAGTCTGCCTTGCACAGCTTCTAGTTTTAACAAATTCCAAGGAAAGTTGGAGTCCCACCTGTGAAAGTGAGTTAGGTACCTTACTCCAGTTGGGATTCACAGCCCCTTCCTGGAGGTCGGTGCCTCGGTGGATACTTAATAACACCGCCAAGCTCCCTGCGCCAAGGAAGGAGTTGGTGCTTCCTTTAAACTAGTGGTTAGAACACTTGCCTGAGAAACGATACAGCCAGGATCATCGCTCCGCAAACTGGTATGAGAGCAGGGGGAGTGTAGACACCCTCTCCTCTTTCAGCCTTAATGAGTATTCATTTACTCCCTGAGGAACAGTTTCAGCTGGAGATATTGAAAGACCCCCCCCCCCAGACCTCCATCTTCTCAGCTTCTATTGCTGCTGTCACAGGTGACTCTCCCAGAAGCCTAATTCATGTTTGGAAAAGTGACTCAGCTCTGCAGCAAGAAAAATCTAATTTCCAGGAGGCCAAAGTGAGTTGGGAGCCGATGAGGTTCGGGGAGAAATTACCCCGGATTGTTGACCTGGGCAAATGCTCTCGGGAGTGGTGCCACAGAACGATTTGTTGCTTTGAAAGGCTCCAGTGTTGGAAGGACACCTGGGTTGGCAGGGCCTGGGTTCTCTCACTGGGGTTTTTGAAGGGCTGTAGCTGCGGTTTGTGTCACTGTGTCCCGAGCGCAGTAATACGTGGCGGTGTCATCGGCTCGCAGGCTGCCCAGCTGCAGCCAGGCCGTGGTTATGGAGTTGTCCCTGGTGATGGTGACTCGCCCCTGGAAGGCCGAGGCATAGTCAGTGCCACCGCTATTTGGATTGATCCGTCCGACCCACTCCAGGCCCTTCCCGGGAGCCTGCCGTGCCCAGTTAATGTGATAGCTCGTAAAAGTGTAGCCGGAGGTTTTACATGTCAGCTTCACGGACTCTCCGGGCTTCTTGATTTCTGCCCCAGACTGGGTCAGCTGGACCTGGGAACTAACACCTGTGAATAAAAAAACCAAGAGAAATCCCATTAATTCCATTCTATTCCTCCTCTTCCCTTATCCAAGCGCTTGCCTTGTTCAGGACAGTCTCTTGTCTGGCTTTTTATAGGAAGAATCTGTTCCCGCCATATTCCTGTGCAGTAGGGAAGTACAGTTACACGATTTTCAGAGGGAAACTGAGACATGAACTGGGCTGGAGGTTTTTCAGAGCTGCGTACCGGATTCCTGACACAAAATAATCAAAATTTGGCATTAAAATAGACTACTAGTCTTTCAAATTCCACACTTTGCGATGTATTCAGAGCTAGGATTTAGAATCCAGACTTCCTGATCCACCTCCTAGGGGCTTCACCTTCAAACCATCTTTGCTCCCCTAGCCCAGCTGTACCCAGCAGAAACTCGCATCCATCCCTTTACCTGAGAGAGCCGCCAGAACAAAACAGAACCCCAGACCGATCATTGTTATATTCTCCTCTCCCACCTTGTGTGCTGCAAAGCAAGAAACCCTCTGCCTGTTAGCGAGGGATCCTGGCTGTTTTTGTGTCAGTTTTCCTGCTTCATTTGCATGTGGGCGGGGCTACATCGTTTGACGAAACCTCGGCTGTGCCCGCCTGGACAAATAAATGGCCTCAGAGGAGGCCAGAGCAGATCTATGGAATTTGGGCCAAGAACTAGGACAACACTGAAACTACTTTCACCTCAGCGGAGCGCCCGTGTGTCCTAAGGGACAATTGGTGAAGCTGAATGTTAAGGTGCCCAGTGTCGGGCTGTCACAGTGTCACACCCAATGGATGTGAAACCGACACAACACAGAATCCAGGGATGTGTAAACAGGGCCACTCTCCCGTGGGGAAATCTGCCTGTGAGCGGTGATCTCCGAACTTCCCTGGGGCGCTGGGCACCTAACTCGTATTGATTGGGAAGGGATTAGGCTGGGCAGAGCCTCACACTGAAAAGCGATCCCAGCCTGCCGAGCTAAGGCCAATGATTCCTGGCGAT